ACACCTACGCACGGACTGCGCAGAAGGCCCCCTCGTCTGGCGGCTGCTTCGAGACCGCGTCGGGCATTTTCGGGTTTGGTGAAAGCTTCGGTGAACACGCGCATGGCCACGTAGGTAGACGCACGCTGGTCCATGAGTTGATGGTACAATATCTCCGCTAACAATGACTCCACACGTAACTGTTCCTGAGACAAACTACCCGGGGGATACCATATACGCACACGGCTCCAACGTTTTAACCAGTTGTAAGTTGGAAAGTACGGCGCACAACGGTCAGAATCCGGACACAATACCACCACCTTCACCGCATCCCACGCGTTACCCATGAACGCTACACGTGCCTCACACCCGTGTAATCGTGTCAACCTTCCACCCGACAGTATTGATGCCACCGTAACCGACATCATAACCTCCAACTTACGCACACTCCTTACTCCTTTCATCACACACCAATTATATTTAAATACAAATCCCACACACCAATTATTAAATAAATATTAACCATAATTAACCATAATTAACCATAATTATGATTTATTAATGATTCAACCTACCACTCACCTTGTCTCCCACTCACCTTGATTCCACTCACCTTGATTGGTGGTTTATGAGTCAAGGGCGATTTGGGCGACTCACGGTGCGCGCATAAAAGTGTGTGCAGACAAACACGCGCACATCCTTCAAGCGACTCACGACATAACATCAACCAACACATAACTACCACGGACGCACGCCCAAACATTACCGCGAACTGGAGACCGCAGGCTAAAGCAACTAGAGCAAGACAAACTATACAGAGCGCCACCAATGTACTACACCATACTTAGACAACTACCATTCGTCGAGAACGTATGTTACTACTAAGATGGCATTTCCATAGCAGCCGACGACTCACCGATAGCAGACTACTAATAACCACAGTGAGAAAATACATCGACACTAGTAACGTGGCCGTTGGACTATCACTACGCCAAGGAGCCAACACGTTAAAGCCTTACCGTCCACACATAATTATTCAAATACCAACGAAGCTGAAGGAGGATACACCTCTCACAAATCAAAGAAACTATACCACTCCTTGTCTTTTCCGATAACTCGTTACTCAATACCGCACTCAATGAGAAGGGCTACTTTGCTAACAAGATCCTAAGAGCTGAAGAGAGAGAAAGATTACTTTGCGAGCAGTAGGCCTTGGTACTACACGAGCTGCGACTACAGGAAATGGAGAGGGTAAAGGCATAGCAGGAATTAAAGGCATAGCAGGCAACCTTCCACCAACCGTCTGTTCCAACAAACAAGTGAAACACGGGTTGAGCACGATCACGAGCATACGTGGGGTGGGGGGGGGGAAGAACCGAACCGAACCGAAGTCGAGTGCGATAATCGAACCGATTCGGATAATGAGCCGGGCTCGACACAACGAATCAGTGGAGACCATGACGCACAAAAGAGATGTACTTGCTATGCGAGAATGTGTGTGCACACACTTTTTAGGCAGCAACTGTTTTGTTGTGGGCTACTACTCCGGTCTCGAAAAGCGTGTCTTTGTACACACACGGTATCTTAAGGCTATTTCACATTAATAACTAATCTTTGACAGCGCATCACTTCACACTGCCACCACAGACTCCAAGACTACATTCCACTATACAGGATGGTAAAAAATTGACTCGAATCGGAACTAACCGAATTGTCGACCGCGGGCCAACTTCGACTATCGAGAAAACTTAGCGATCAGCGAGACGCCGTCTCCGCTGATTGCAACTGACTTTTCTGGTTATTTGAATTGACTTTGTGTTTGACCTGATTATTTTGTGACTTCCTCTACACTTGTACAGCTACCACTATTACATTGATTGGTGCCGATTATAGGACCGTACTGACCGCCACACACGCACACGCCGCTACCTGTCCCCCTGGTGCTTAAGGAAAGATGCGCTCAGAGCTTTCGCTCTCCTTTCGGACTACACCCGCATGCTACTGGCAACAGCCCATCTGACCGTCCGACTAGCTCGTACTGTACTATTCTCTGGACCCCCCTCTCTCTTTACTCTTCGACCCGGGATCACTGACATCGTCTTAAACCCTTTCCTTCTCTTATTAAAGTTGGTCGTTGCTCTACCGACGTCACCGCAGGTCGTGATCGGTTGACACCACTCGGAGTTTGCTGAATGCATGCACCCAGGGACAAAGGTAGATGATCTTCGCGGAATTGCTCCGAGCTACTCACCGAGAACCGGAGTTCGGAGCTGACAATAATATTCCAAGAGAGACAGGCGCGGACATGGGCTGAATTCAGGAGCACCTTTTTTTCGTTCTGACGATTGCCCATCAGGCTCCCTTGACACCAGGGACTGGTGTTTCGCTCAACTGCCCGAGCCTATCAGAAAACGGGCGCCAAGAAAAAGTCCTAGTAAGGACTACAGATTTTTCTGCACAATGTCTATCCACAATATGTATCCCCATGTATCTCGCACCCGTTCTCGCACAACATCGTCGCACCCCGCAGAACACAATCTCGGGAGATAGACATCTGTACCGGAAGCACACCAGCATTTGTTCAGTTGAACCAAAAAGTGTAACTCCAATTCCAACTAAATAAACCACAGTGGTGCTGAACCGAATGGGGGCTGGGTGTTTAGACGCGGTACCAACGTTAATAGTAAGCATCATCGTAACCGAAGGCATTCATGGGACCCGGGTGGGGGACCCCTGCGGGGAAGTATTTGAGCAGGCCTCCCGGGAACCACCAGGCCAGGCGGAGGCTTATGAAGCCGCAAGCACGAGTGATTCCGTCGATCCACCATTCTTCGGTAGTTAGTTCCCTAACTCTGGGTTGTTCTTCTTCGACGTATCTAGCGGACCTCCTCCAGCCGCTGAAGTGTTGGAAGAAGGGTCTCCATGTGGGAGGTAATGTAGGATAGAGTTGTGAGAGTTCGTCAGTCTCAAGATGTCTTATGCTGACGACTTGGAGTTTCTTTGCGACCTTGGGTGCAAAGGGGCCGGCGAGACCGCCGACACCTACGCACGGACTGCGCAGAAGGCCCCCTCGTCTGGCGGCTGCTTCGAGACCGCGTCGGGCATTTTCGGGTTTGGTGAAAGCTTCGGTGAACACACGCATGGCCACGTAGGTCGACGCACGCTGGTCCATGAGCTGATGGTACAATATCTCCGCTAACAATGACTCCACACGTAACTGTTCCTGAGACAAACTACCCGGGGGATACCATATACGCACA